GCCAGATTTACCATCAGGAGAGACCATGCTGCATTACGCTGGTTATCATCATTAAAGAACCCAGAGAGACAATTGGCACGTTGGATCGGAAAAATAGACCAGTATGATTATGATATTGAATACAGAGAAGGAAAATATCATGGAAATGCCGACGGACTGAGCCGAAGACCCTGTAAAAATGAGAGGTTGAACTAACCAGGTGTCATCAAGCTGAAGTCAAAGTAACTGAAGGACTTGATGATGGTGAAGTGGAACCAAGTACAGATATTAAAGAAGAACAGGGGAAAAACCAAGATTTGAAGCCAATAATTGATTTTCTAAAAGCTAGTGTTTTGCGTTCTGCTTGGGAGAAGGTGTCTAGGTTAAACCCTGTGACAAAGAACTATTGGGCACAGTGAGACCAGTTGAAGCTTGCAGATGGTATTCTTGTCTGGAGATGGGAAACTGCAGATGGGAAAGTGACGACCTGGCAAACAGTTATACCGAGAAAGTTACGGGAAGTTGTGCTGCATCAATCCCATGATAGTTTAGCAGGAGGACATCTTGGAGTTAAGAAGACATTGAGTCACCTACGACAGAGATTTTACTGGATAGGTATGAGGCAAGATGTGGAATAATGGTGCAGGACCTGCAGTACATGTTGTGCTAAAAGGGGACCCAAGCATAAGGGACGTGCTCCAATGAAGTTATGTCAACTTGGTGCACCAATGGAAAGAGTAGCTGCTGACATTGTTGGTCCTCTGCCCCAAGCTCGTGCTGGAAACAAGTACATTTGTGTGGTGATGGATTATTTCACCAAGTGGCCTGAGGCATATGCAATACAAATTAGGAAGCTACAATTGTAGCTTTGGCTATTAGTGATTTCTTCTTCAAGTTTGGTATGCCATATGAACTGCATTCAGATCAAGGCCATAACTTTGAATCAGCTGTGTTCCATGAATACTGCCAGTTGTTTGGCATACGAAAAACCAGGACAACGCCACTTCACCCACAGACACTTGGACAGGAATTGGC